CTGCGGAAATTGTCGAGGTGAGACAAGGGTCTTGTGTGGTTGAAATAGTGTGAAACAGAATAGGTGGTCCCAGAATGTGAAACGTAAAATGAAAACCGAATCGGGCGAAAGGATCAAAAATCATGAGCATGCAGCAGTTCACAAACCTTTTGAGGAAGAAGTGGCATCAATACCGAATGTCGGGAGAAGCATTGTTACTCCAAAATGATCGGGCGGGGCCACTAGGCTCACTGTATCGCGGTGGAGAATAGTCGATACCTGTTCCGGTGCTCCTCAAAGGTAAAGAGTTCACCAACGAGATTTGGAGTGGTAGGTCGAATGTCGAGAACGAGGTCGGCCTTCGTGGTGCTGGTCGCGAGAGTGGCCTTCATGATATGAGGAGCGGCGATCTCGGCGGCTATAGGTTGAATTGTCCCAAGAAGCATTGTCGTGCCAAGATCGGCGAGCTTGATCGAGAGCCAGACGCAGCGGTCTCGCGGTGGCTATGTGTGTCTCAAGAGTCGTCTAGAGGTGGCTCCGAAGGTCCTGGGGCGTCGGCAGGAGGGTCAGGTCGTGCTGGACGTCCATGATCGTCAGGAGGTTCCGAAGGTGCATTGGTCTCCGCCGTCTGGTGTGTGATCAAGCCCGGGAAAACCGAGTGAGTGAAGGCAACAAAGCATATGGATGCCGCGCTTGAGTTCATAGCCGTTGCATTGTCTTTGCCCTTGGCTATGCCCGCAAGGTTGCACAAGCGTTGAATTTGGTCATTTCCTCCAGCTAGGGCACGGATGCATTTGGGTGAGCGGCAAATGGCCAGCAGGCCTGATGGGTTTTATCCTTTGCCAATTTTGTAGAGCTGAGAGGTACAGATCTTGACAGCATAGCCGGGTAGGTTGTCGATGTCTGCGATCTCAGAGGACATTCCGAAGAACCCGTAACATGGGTATTGAGTTGGCATGCCGGCTTCGTTTTTTGTCCAAGTTGCCGGGCGAATGCAGTCTTCCGCGAGAATTTTGGCAACTGTTTCCCAACTCGTTTTGTGGTAGATCAGGTAGGTGCCCATGTGTTCGCCACGGTAGATTGGTTTCTTTGGCAATCCTGTGGGGACCGTGATGGTCAGCAGGTTCTCTGGCTCGATGTAGAAGGCTTGTGTTTGCCTCGCAAGGTCGATGTCCAGCAAGTTGGATTGTGCAAAGGCCCTTGCAATGTTTCTGACGGTGGCTTGGCTTGCTTTGATATAAATACGATGGTTGTTGACGGTGCGGTATGGCTGAGCCAACTGTTCAAACATCGCGTCAACGAATTGATTGAAGAGCTGCAAGATAGCCGGGGTCAATGATTGGCGTAGAGGGACAACATGGTCAGGGCCAAGCTCAGTCAGGCAGCGGACCCTAAGGGGGTCATTGGCCGCCTCAACCATTTCACTGAGGTCGATGTCATTCGTGTCGAATTTGGTGATCGAAATGGTATCTGCAACCTCAGAGTTTTCACTGTCGCCGTCAGGGAGCCGGAAGGACACAGCGCCGAGTGGTGCTGAAGTGTGGGTTGGTGGGTTGGTTGGTGGTTCCGGTGGTGGTGGATCGGCAGGAGAATTGGGTCGAGCATTGTGGTGATGGTAATTGTCGGTGTAGTGGCTGTCGTTCCATGAGCCCCAGGTGTCATCAGCGTCGGGAGTGGGGATGTAGTTCGGATTGGATGGGTTTGCAGCTGGTCGAAGTACGACTTCACGGCCTCTGGATCGGTGGCGTGGTGTCGCGGAACGTGGACGTGGGTGAGATCGATGACGTCGAGGAACCACGGGGGAGCGGCGTCGTGGAGGTGATCGTCGTCTGTATGGAGATGGGGTTCTGCGGCCCTTGTCGTGTTTCGTGGATGATCGATGACGAGGAAGAGGAGAACGAGGTCGCTCTGCACGTTGAGGAGAATAGCGATGGCGATGAGAATGTACAGAAGGTCGATGGGAACGTGGTCTTGGAGTCCTAGATCGTGGTCGGCGTGTTGGTGATGATGGAACTTGTAGTTGGTGAGGAGGAGCCATGGCTGGAGCTTGGACAATGCGAAGGTCCGGAACGTCAGGTTCGGTAGGTCTGGCTTTCGGTGCGGGTGGAGGCGTGGCTATCAGTGGTGGTACGGTTGTAGGTGGTGGTGTTTGTGGAATAGGGTTCGGTGGAGGTCCATCTTGTTGGAGAAGTAGCTGACGTTGTGCTTGGGCTCGTTGAGTATCCATGATCAATTGTTGCTGAGCTTGAATAAGTCGAACAGATTCCGCAAGTTGCTGTGTAGTGGAGCCCAATGCGACCAGTTCGGGTGACACGGATGACGTCGGTGCTGCCGTAGGTGTTGGTGGTGTAGCAGGAGGAGGGGCTTTTGAAGCTGGCCTGCGCGGTCGATCCATTCTTTTGTCAGAGCGAGGCCCGGGAGCTGCTTTAACTGCTGGAGGCCGTGGTGAAGGTTCATCTGGGGAGACCATCGATGCGTCCGTCTGTAATGGAGGTTGAATGTGATGAGGTGGGTATGGAGAACTTGGCAAAGGTGTCGGTGGCATAGTCGATATAGGTGGTGGAGTCGATGTAGGGGATGGAGCCGGAGGAGAAGGCCACGTGGGTGGGGCGGTGGGTGCCGTAGGAGATGGGAAAGTCGACGGAGCGGTGTGCACCATAGTTGGTTCAGGGGCCAAAGGTGAGGGCATGGTGGGTACGAGCTGTGGGCCTGGTACTGCATGAGGAGCCGGAGACAATGAGGTAAACGGCAACGATGTTGGGGTTGATGTAGACGGCATGATAGAAGCTGAAGAAGACCATGTAGGATGCAAGGCCGAGGGATGTCCAAATAGATGTGCATTCGGCGATGATTGCTGCCACGTCGAAGATGGGTTCGCAGGCTGCGGTGGAGCAGGCCATGACGTCGGCGGAGTGTTCCAAGGATACATCGCTCCAGTAGGCCAAAACAAAAGTGGACAATCACATGCAGGATTCAGTCCCTAAATGCCTAAATTGTCGTGCAATTATTCCCTGCACCGGGACCGTGGTCAAGTCGTGCCCCGATGGCATAAAACAGCTTCCAAGTTCCAACGAATTAGATGCACAACATGTTCCACCTCACCAGACAACCATCAAAAGAAAGGATCACCACACCTGAAAGTCGTGTGCCTGCCTGATTTCTCTGTCATGGTTTGATGCAACGGTGTTGCAAAGCAGCTGCAAAAAACGGAGGTTTCAGAACGTTCGGAATGGCTTCACTTGAAAGAGCAGATCACTGGGATCCCTGGGACATCCGGAGCAGCAGGAGATCTCAAAATGGCTGACAAACCGTAAGGCCAGCTGTTGCAATTTACTTAAATGAATTGCCAAATTAAAATGTGTTAATTCGGAAGTCAGGACAGTCATCACTCACCCTAAAAAGGGTTGCCTCAAATGGCTCCATGGCACCATGTCGGAGCCACCATGGAAATCACACTAGACAAGAATGGATCATTATATGATCCGGCAGGAACTGAATCCTGAAACATGCAAACCAGCCTAGATTATTAGATGAATAAAAGAGCCACATGAGGTACTTCTCGAAAACGATGTAGGGCATCCGATATTGTCAAACGTAGTCATAACCAGATTCCATAGAGTTTTGACCAGCATGTTGAAATCCAAAATAATGTTTCGGCGATTGTTTCCCAAAATAACCCATAATTCGTCGGCGACAGGATCTCGGCAAAAATAGGTCAAAAACATAATACTGTCGGCGATATGGTTTCGGCGAAAATCTGAGGAAGGTTCTGATGCATGTAAATTTCAACATTGATTCCAGATTGCGACAACAGTGCAGCAAATTGTATAATATTGTGGTTGGGGTTCTAAGCTTGGCCCCTTGCTATGTCCGAAAAAAGCAGGTACGTGCAGTTGATCAGACTGCATATCCTCTCCAAACATCAGTAGCTTCGTTGGCCACGGACTGATGAATGGAGCCGTGGCCCCCTGCAAATGAAAAAGTTCCCTGCAAATGTAAAAACGTAAGAGTCAAAGAAGTTTTACATCTGTTCAGATGTTACACACACACACTCGCACACTTGCTCTCAACCGCATCATGAACCTAGCTCAACCACATGTATCAATCTGGGTAAATAATAATATGTCACTAACCTGAATTGTTGGGCCATTTGGGGATGATGTCCCTATACATTCACCATGATTCCAGGGCTCGGGAGAACAGGGCTCGGTCGTGATGAAATTTACCCAGATCAATGTATACACTGGCAAAACTCTGGGTATATCAGTGCAATGTATACACCCTGATGGTGTCAGAGCCGTCAGAGTGGCACAAGTTTTTTTTCTGTTAAGATCTGCCGAAAAACTGTAGGTTCTGTTCCCAAAACCACACAAACATGAATCGTTAAAGGGACCACCATTGCTTTGCCAAGAGATGAAGTATACCCCCAAAGTTGCCACTTGAATGGTGAAAATAATGTTCTAAACCTTGATTTCCAATCTTGGGATATATACATATATATATATATATTATATATATACCTAGGCTGAAACCCAACTTAGCTACGTATATGATACGATCTTGCATCTAATATCGCCCTATGGCAAAGAAAACCTATGACACAGCATATTGTTGAGGGATGAATCAATGAATATCCATAGACACTAGTCAGCTAGTTTGGTTTTTTAAAGCCACAGGACCGTTTTCGACGTGCAATTTCGGGTCCGAAATTACAAATCTCCAAACTTCCAACTGGGAAATACGACTTTTGAGGTATGTCTGAACTGTATAACAACCCAAAATCTGGTTTGTTGGCCTTTGTTGGCACTTGCATGATCATCAACGAATCGCAAGTGGTTAGTAACTCAAGCTATACCCTCTGGTAATTTGTCACATAGCTATTGAAAATGGCCATAGAAATAGTGGATTTTCCCACTAAAAATGGTGGATCTTTCCACAGTTATGTAAACGTTTACCACAGGGTAAGCCATTGATAAATGAGATCCACTTGTGGGGACCAAAAGCGCTGGATTCCAGGCGACATCGATGCGCCGTGTCCGGCTATGTCTGCAAGCAGCCGTCCTGACCATCGACCAGGAGGTTTACTCAACGGATCACGATCGCTGCTTGGTGAGTCGAAAGATGCGTGGATATATGGTGATATTAATTGTGGTTGTTAGTTGTGGCATAAACTTGGGTTTATAGGTTGATCTGTGAAATACCAGGCTTTTATGGTGGATTGGCCATATTTAGAGCAAGAATATTGAAATGGGAATTATGAATCATGACCAAAAAGAATTAGGTATGGAACATGGAAGATCCACTGGAAGATCCACTGGTAGTTGAGCCAACCCAATGTGCGTCGAGGAGTCAATTCCTCAAAACAAACTAACTTGGATTTGCATAAGGAACCCAACCAAAATAGAACATATTCCCATAGAATCCCACTCAGTAGTGGTCCAAATGTTACCATGTTGAAACCCTAAAATACAAAAGAAACAAAAGATATGTGCGAGTTGGCTTTTCAATGGGGTCCCCCAATTTTAGGACATACCGACATACCTCAAACTATGGGAATTGCGATTACCCATCGAGGCAGTAAACAGAATCAAAATCAAGTATATAAGATTATATAAGTACAAATGAAAATCTTTAACATGTTCTTAACTCGATACCGCACTACCAATGACAATTTTGAAAGGATTGCTAAGAAGTATTGATCCCAAAAATTGGATCCAATTGGACGCGGAAAAATAAAACACCGGAAAACTTGTGGTTCCTGGGGCTTAGAATTGCGACCGACCCCGATTTGCAAAAACGTCCTTCAACCGATCTACACGAAATACGTTTTTCACAACGGGATCTTCCCATTTTTTTTTAACATTGTTAAGTCAGAATTCGACCACCAAAGAACATGGTTTTCCAAATGCAGCTGAGGAACACTTTCTCCCAGACATGCTGATGCTTCACACGCTCACGTTCCTCCGCCCTTCTCTGTCTTTCTTCCTCCCTCCTTGGATTTGGTAAGATCTGGGTGGATTAATCCATGCATCGGAAAAGAAATAAACACATAGATTGACTAGTTACTTTTAGTTACTATTTATATATATTATATACATATAAGTTCTATGTGTATATGTATAGTATTATTTATAAATAAATAAATAAATAAATAAATAAATAATACAAATGTACATGTATATATATATATATATTATGTATATATATATATGTAATACAAAATGGTTTTCTGTAAATCCAAGGCGCATGGCGAAGATCTTGTCATCCGAAGGCAGCTTGAAGGGATTGTCCTCCTGGAGGGTACACGTCGCGTTCACGAGATAAGGGTCTTCGTATTACGCTCATATGGGCCCCTCAAATATATGGTTAATATACTGTTAATAATGGTTAATATTAATGGTTATTATATGGTTAGTGATGGTTAATAACTATAACATTGGGATATCATTGGGATATACAATGAGATACAAGATTTAATTGGGATATAGATCATAATCTGGTTGGTGGTTTCAACCAACCCCTCTAAAGAATGATGGAGTGAGTAACAGTTGGGATGATGAAATTCCCAATATGATGGGAAAAATAAAACATGTTCCAAACCACCAAGCAGATATGCATATATATATATATCTGGGTAAATTATAATATTACACTAACCTGAAATAAGGCTATTTGGGGATGATTTCCCTTGCAGTACTAATCATGATTCCAGGGTTCGGTCGCAGTGAGGTCGTTATAATTTACCCAAATAGGAATGTGATGATTGCATGGACTATGAAGGACAATGATATTCAATTATTTATTATATAATCTATTCAATGATGGTCTATGATAATCTATAGTATCATTGAATCTGGATGGACTATGATAATCCCATCCCCCGTTCTTTTGTTTGAACAAACCCTATAAATAACATGGTCCCAATTCTGTGGAAATTCCACCATGAAACCATGCTTTCTATACCGGGGTTGGGATTATTTGACCAAGACCAAACTGAACTCCAGCAGTTTCGGGACCGATGGGGTCCTTCATATTCGCCACCATCGCACCAAGCGGCGATTTGTGGGTGTTTTCGCAGCGGCTACACGGAAGTTCTCTATCTTGGTATGAAACTTACTGCGTGTTCTTATTGTAGTGTGTTCCTTTGACAGCAAAGTGAGCCCATGGATTCCTGCGAGCCGAGCAAACAGAGAGGAACTGAGCAATCAGCCGATGCCGGCACCCAAGACATCATGATTCGACGCTAAGAGAATTGCTCATCCAGAATCCCAGAATAAACTGGCTTTCATGTTGATATCCACATGCAATAGACCGAGACCCCCCAAAAATTCTGGATACTTGGAGGATCCTCAAAAACTCTTCGTAACTGATCAGCAATCATAGTCATGTCATATCCCATTTAGTGGGACACAGAAATCGTTCACCACTTGGTTACTTAAAAACCAGTTGCGAGCCGTGGATCCGACAATGTGGGGCCCCCCAGTGATGTTTGTTGGTTTATAAACCCCATGAATACTATAGTTATAACCAGGGTTACTATCCATTTAATCCATTTAATCCATAGTAACTATAGTTATTTGCGTACCATAAACCATAGTTATTGGAGTTATGTTCACCAACTTAGCTATCTTTTACTGGGGCCCCACAGTGTACAAAAAATGTCATTTTTTTCACCTAGGCCCATTGGGGACGGCCGTAGTTTCATGAGAAAAAAATGGGGGCGGTCCCCAACAGCCGACCCAAGCAATGAAGGGTTGGCTTCTTGGCAACAAATCCAGGGTTACCACCCCCATTTCATCTATAGTTATAATCCTGGTTACTATCCATTTACACAAAAAATCCAGGGTTACTATCCATTTAATCCATTTAATCCATTTAATCCATGTCCCACATGGGTAAGATCTAGTGTGGACATGGCCATGGATGAAAAAAAAAGACCCCACATATCGCCGCGATGTGAAAATCATAGTTGGCTGAGAACTCGATTCCAATGGATTATGAGAATCCTCAGTAATCCTCAACATATTGGATAGTATAACTCCCGAACTAGTCATCAACCATCATTTATCAGTTGTAATCCACTTATATCATCTTATATCTCCATCTTGTGATGGGTAATTGTTAAAAAATTCCCCCAGGTCAGAAAAACCAAAAGTCGCGCGGTTGCGACGTACCCATCACCACCCAGGGCTGACTGTTACGCTTTACTGTGCCTTCTCAAAGAAACCTTTGTCCAAAAGGTCGTAGACCTTGGACCTTGGCGTCCAATATATCATCCGACTCACTCGAAAACGCTACGTCGGACGGGCAGTCGAAATGAAATGTTATGAAGGTGAAGAATGGTGAACAGAAAACCCCATCGAAATATAGTTCATACACCAACTATATTTAAATATGTTAACACAGCAACTATATAGTTTCTTGGTGTATGTTAACTTAACAGAGTATGGGGGATCAGGCCCGCTAAGGTTTGCGAAGCCTCAAAGCTGCAAAGCCTCTTTGGCGCCTCACGCCTCAAAGCCTCAAAGCCTCAAAGCCTCAAAGCTGCAAAGCCTCTTTGGCGCCTCACGCCTCAAAGCCTCAAAGCCTCAAAGCTGCAAAGCCTCTTTGGCGCCTCACGCCTCAAAGCCTCAAAGCTGCAAAGCCTCTTTGGCGCTTCACGCCTCAAAGCCTCAAAGCTGCAAAGCCTCTTTCGCGCTTCACGCCTCAAAGCCTCAAAGCTGCAAAGACGCTTGGATGCTTTGGCGCTTTGGCGCTTTGGCGCTTTGGCGCTTGGCGGCTCTTTGGCGCTTTGGCGCTTCTTGGCGCTGGTCCTACGCCTCAAAGCCTCAAAGCTGCAAAGACGCGTGGATGCTTTGGCGCTTTGGCGCTTGGGCGCTTTGGCGCTTGGCGGCTCTTTGACGCTTTGGCGCTTCTTGGCGCTTGTCCTACGTCTCAAAGCCTCAAAGCTGCAAAGCCTCGTTGGCGCTTCACGCCTCAAAGCCTCAAAGCTGCAAAGCCTCTTTCGCCCTTCTCGCCTCAAAGCCTCAAAGGCTCAAAGCTGCAAAGACGCTTGGATGCTTTGGCGCTTTGGCGCTTTGGCGCTTTGGCGCTTGGCGGCTCTTTGACGCTTTGGCGCTTCTTGGCGCTGGTCCCACGCCTCAAAGCCTCAAAGCTGCAAAGACGCGTGGATGCTTTGGCGCTTTGGCGCTTGGGCGCTTTGGCGCTTGGCGGCTCTTTGACGCTTTGGCGCTTCTTGGCGCTTGTCCTACGTCTCAAAGCCTCAAAGCTGCAAAGCCCCGTTGGCGCTTCACGCCTCAAAGCCTCAAAGCTGCAAAGCCTCTTTCGCGCTTCTCGCCTCAAAGCCTCAAAGGCTCAAAGCTGCAAAGACGCTTGGATGCTTTGGCGCTTTGGCGTTTTGGCGCTTAGCTCTTTGACGCTTTGGCGCTTCTTGGCGCTTGTCCCACGCCTCAAAGCCTCAAAGCTGCAAAGCCTCGTTGGCGCTTCACGCTTCAAAACCTCAAAGCTGCAAAGCCTCTTTCGCGCTTCTCGGTTACCTTAAAAGGGCTCAATCAAATTGTTAGGTTTGGCAGCATGGTTTGCCTCCTGGCCGGGCCAGCTTTTTACTTACGCCAGTGATTGCATCCAAACTACAGTAGTGTGAAACATTGTGGAACTTTCAGTACTTGGCTGAGCAGACTGAAAAAACAACTTAAGGTAGCGGTGCTGACACACCACTTTGGGGTCTTACGATGCTCTTGGTTGCTTGTGGAAAGCTTTGGGATTCGACCATTTGTCTGGTTCTCAATTGTTTTGAGTCATTATCTAGAGATAGCACAAGTGGTACTTCAAAAAAATATCAGTAGATCTTCAAACACTTCTTGAGGACTTCCAGTGAGCTTGACGACGACAAGTTCGAGCTGCTTTCCAAGAACTTTCCGCACTGCCGGTGGTTGCTGAACTCTAACTGGATAAACTGTGTGTGGGGCTGTGCCTAAACAAATGTGACCGTTTTATTTCCTGGATTCCTGCCGGAAGCGCAAAAGGTGCAGACGGGATGTGACCAAAGAGCGAATGGGCAAGGACCTGCTGAATAAGGCTGGTTCAATTACTCATTATCAGTCTTAGGTTGAAACATGTCGAGATATAAAATGGGAATAATCAACGCAAAAAATATTCATGGTCGTGGCCGTTGATATGTCGACATGATTGGTTGCAATAGCTGTGTACTTTGGGCAGGTGATGGTCTACACGGCTGGGTTTCCATGTCAACCCTATTCAATGCTGAGGTCTACAAGGAGGATGTTGGGGGGTGTCAACACTTCCTAACTTTGGGCCGTGTTGGCCAACATCCGGGATACAAGGCTAATGGTTTCTAATCTGCAGGTCATGTGAAATACAATGCATTGTGATGTTACAATGATGTTTCTTGTCCCAGAGTTATTTGATATGTTGTATGGGTTGCTACTAAGATTGGCCTACTTGAGAACGTTTTGGGAGTCAGATCCGTGTTGAACACGGTCCTGGCGATTATTTAGAAGGAACATCCCCGGGTTCCTTTACTGAACTGGTCACTGAAATCTTGTCATAGGATTGCAACATGAATCATTTTAAGATTGTGAAGAGTTTCAATTACTACTCTCTGAGGTATGCCGTTGCGTGCGTGATTATGGACCCGTATCCAATTTGCACATATACCAAAAATGTTCACCTGCTTAGCTTGTTTCGGGTTGTCCGTAATATACAGTATGTATATGTTCCAAACTGCTGGTGCCCAGGATTCATGTCCAGACCCTAACTTCGCGGAGAAGGCTGTACATCTACTTAATCCGTAAGGACGTGATGACGGCTGAAGCTCTTTTTGGTGATTTTACTTCTTTTTTGCAAAAAAGCTAACCAACATTCTCAGTGGTGAAAATCGATTGGTTTCTCAACTGAATGGCCTCCACATGTTCTAGTTGGTTCCAGTCAGACATAGCCCCAACATGTGCCAGTTAGTTCCCGTTAGACATCTAACTAGGCCAACGTGCGTCGCCGAGGAAAGTTTTCCTTGTTGAACTCACAATCAATCATAAGAAGTACCCCGTCAACAAACTAACCATCCACTGTGATGCCTGCTATTCAGCGATGGGATTCCGATGAAACGAGTTCGGAAGATGGACCTCGTCGGTATGACCCCAACTAGTTCCTCAAGTTCAGGAGAGAGACTTGTATCAACAGAAATTCATAAATGATGAATCTTTAGTGTGCACATTTGTCACCTTTGTCTTTCACAGCTCATGTTTCCACATCTCGCATGGCGCTGCATTGAGGAATTCTGATGCCAGTTCTTCATACGCCAGCTGATGATTATTAGTTGAGAAAAAATGAAATCAAAGCATCTATTTGGATCTAATGGCATCGGATCTCCAACCCTGTCTCACTGGCCAGCACGGTGCTCATCCAAGGACCTCGCGCCGCGCCAGCTGTCAAGAGTGCATCAGTTCATGCTTTCATGATCCACATGTACTTCACTGCATCTGAACCTATGCCAACGGGGCAACTCAGCTGAATAAGGTGTTTTGTGTCAGGTTTCCTGGCAATAACGAATTACAATCTTTTTCATTGGGTTGATTTTCCTTCATCCAGGTATGCATCGAAATCTGTGCTTGACAGTGCTGATGACCATCTTTGGCAAGAGCTGTTAGATAGGTTGGTCGGCTCCCACCTTGTCGGCCCAACATTTCAGGTCTCTTGCAACCATGATCCTTCCTGGCTGCCGCTGAAGGAGTTACCGCACAATAGTTGGATGAACATGTTCCTCATGTACAAGGACTATGCGAAATCTAAAGGGGAAACACCTGCATGAAGGTCAACATTTTTTGAGGTGATCAATCAGTGGAAGGTTTGTGTGAAATTTCACTGTCGGACACATCATCAGCTGTGTCTTACCTGCAGCACACTTCGATCAGCAATCTTGAACACAAATGAATCTCTGATTTAAATTTCAAATACTGCCATTATTGTATATAATTAATACTCAAGACTAAGTGTGTCAACGGCATTTCTTTTCCGGAGCAAATATACAGGATTCACCGTGGCTTCTTAGTAATATCCTGATAAAATCCAATAATGAACTGCTGATCCAGTTTGTCTTGTGCGGTTTAGTATGATGCAATTACCCCTTACCAGTAGTAAACATCCCAGCAATCATCCCGATGATCATCCCAGTAGTAGCCCTCATCCAGATTTGGATCCAGATACCTTGAATTTAGATCCAGATACCTTGAATTTCACATATATACATAGAAATCTATTTAGGTAGATAGATGCAAATGTGATATGACATATATCTATGCACGTAAGTCTCTTTGCAGCCCCACTCCGGCTATTTTTCGTCCACGATCGTTTCGACTTCTTCTGCGCTCGCTTGGCAGCCGCTTCCGCGGATCGCTTACGCAAGTCACCCTCACGCAGCTCCAGAGGGGAAAGTTCAAGAATGAGGGGATAGTGTGAATCAGCATCGTTGTCTGAAAGTCTCAACTCCTCACTTGTCCAGCGCTCCGCCACCGCGCTTTTCACTGCGCCTCGCAGCTGAGGCAGCTTTGCGAAATTCAGCAGTACGCAACAGATCTCCGCGCTGCGATCACCATGTAGAACCTCGTAACTCGCTCCCTCGAACTGCTCGATAACACAATCCACTGCATCACGAATAGCCTGGGGTTCTAAGTTGAAGTCGCCTGCAACGACACGATGTTTGTCTCGGAGCGCCAACCAAAATAGTGTCTTTAATGCAAGCTTGCACGACTCGACGGAACGCTTCTCGTCGTTGTGGACGTGCACTGTGGTAACCCGGAAGGAACTGAGGCCGGCTCGAGATATAACTCCACCGTTCGCTTCATTGACCCATTGCACCTCCGCAGACGGGCAAACTAATGAATGGATGCGATCACCTTGTTTGGCCGAATCCTTGTAGGGTCGCTCCATCAATCCATCCCAGGTCGGATATATACGGCTGAGATACTTTGTCCCTGTCTGTCCAGCTAGGACAGCCATGCATGACCCAACCCGGCCTAGACCCTCTAAGATGCACATGTCCCGTGCTTTGCAATTCGGTGCAAGATGCCACAGGAGTGAGCTTCTTGAAGAAGGACGACCGAAAAATTGCCTGCTATGAAATCAGAAAAGCGCCGGCTGCGATCGATGAAGCCGACATTTGCGACCAACAACGATATCGTATGTGCTTTGCAAGTCTACGGGAAAAGTGCTCGAAGATGACGGCAACGCAAGTGACCGGTTTGTTGTAGGAGACGGATCCTTGTAACCGACACCCGTCTTGTCGTGGCCCACACGGTCTGACACCGGTAAATCTCCAAAAAAGTCCTGGGCATTGTTGCACTCTTCCCTGGAGCTGACAGCTGCAGCCGAAAATCTCCCAACACTGCCGCGCATGGGCCGTATCGGCGCGGGCAGCCAAGCTGGAGGCCAAGCTTCATTGCCCCAGCCGGGCGTGTGCAAAACCATGTCTCTGGAATCCTGCGGGTCATCTTCCTCTTGCGCCATGCCCTGCGACCATGGCCAAGAGTGTGCCATGCTAGCAGGTCTACTAGTGTGTATACTTCCAAGTAGCACTCTGAACAGTTAGTAGTACCGTAAGGTAATGGTTAAGAGCACATATCCTGAATGGTTTGTGGAATTGTGAGTTGAGGATGAGTATAGCACATAGAAAGAAGGGTTAGTGAAAGAGTATAAAGCATTAAGAAACCACCCATACAGGATTAGGAGAGGATCACGCATGTCGCATACCTGACATTCAAATCATTCAATGGCGATCATTGCACATAATTGGTGCTCATGGCTGCTGAGAATGCTGATTTCGATGAAATCCAAATAAATCTCAGTGTTTTCCCCTACAAATCATCACGCTCATATGGGAAAAATTAGATCTCCTACAATTAAGTTAAATGGATCATTCCGCTATCATACCTAATATATCCTAGAAATAGTAATAATAATAATAATAGTAGACATCCCAGATATTTCCGATGATGTGATTTCGGGTATTCGCCTAGCAATATTCCAGTAATATCCTAATAATGAACAACTGATCCAGTTTGTTTTGTGCGGTTTAGTTTGATGCAATTACCCCTTACCAGTAGTAAACATCCCAGCAATCATCCCGGTGATCATCCCAGTAGTAGCCCTTTTCAGTTAACTGGATCATTCCCCCGCACCAAGAGTCATATCCCCGAGACCCCTACCCTCTGGCAATCTAACATAGTTATTCAAAATGGCCATTTAAAGTTGATTTTCCTCTTCAAAATTCGATTTTTTTAAGGTAAACTGTTTGTTTACCAGAGGGTACGTATAACTTTTAATGATAAACATCCCAGTGATTTCTAGATCAGCTGCTTCCAACCTGGGTCAAGGGCAAGCCGCACTCTTCCAATGTTCGGAGCGTCTCCGGCGAGTTGGCCAAGGCTGCCTGGAACACGACTGCGGATGGCGCGATGTGTCACAGTGTCACCAGAAAGAACGAAGATTTCGGGATACTTGTGTATGCGTATATATATATATATATTTATATATATCATATAAGAAAAGATATATATATATATATAATTGTATGTATGTGCGCATAATTGTTTGTCGAAAAATAATGTAACCGGCGAAAAAAGAAACGGCTGCTGCAACCTACATGTGAATACCCCCAACCAACGAGGCACAGCTAGACTAGGAGGGATGACCATCCCCCCACGATACCACGCTGGAGGCATCCACCACATAAGGCGCAGACTCTCTGGCAAAGTGAGGAAGGCGGCCATCCGTGAGGCATGTGAAGATCTGTATTTAGAGATTCAGATGCAGCTCCTGTTTCATTCCTAGTGACTCTTAATGCAATATATATATAATATAACATATATATATAGATATCATACATGTCCATGTGTATGTATAATACCCCATAGATATATATATATATATACATGATATACATGTTGATACAATGCCTTGATGCAATCTGCCCATCTTTTGCTTCCAAGAGCATCCAAGCTACGGGCTGAGCCGCACAGCTCGAATTACCGTGGCACCTCCCACGACCAGCCGAGCAGCATCCGTAAATAGGCATCATGAGCCCAAAATTGGATGTTCAGCATTCAATCTACCAATATCTACCAATATCATCCTATCTCTACCTTCATTTTCCCCTGACACTTGTGAGAAAAGCCATGTAAGTGTCTTGTCACTCTGTTGATCAACAAGAAATGCGACGCTTCTCTGGCACAGGAAGCCGGAGGCGTAGTTGATTATATGTAGTTGGATAGACACATGATGGATGAATGACATGCGATAAAGAGAGGATAAAGATGTGTAGGCATCAGAGGATGTGCATGGCTACATTCATTTGGGGAATCAAAACCTGACAAAGGCATAGGCACCGCGCTGCAGCTGTACTGTGTGCACGTGTGCTCGGTGCAGTGGGTGTCCTGTGATTGGCGCACTCTGTGAGCAGCAAGTATATTCGGTGCAGTCGCTGCAGACCTTCTGTCCGTAAGCAGGCGCAGCTCCTTCGAAACATAGCAAGCCTTTCATAGCAGACCTGTTTCCGCAAGCGAGGTCATACCCTGCTAAACACAGCAAGCCTTTCGTTGCAGACCTCTTTCCGTAAGCAAGCCCATCCTCATCTAAACACAGCAAGCCTTTCGTTGGCGGCTCTTGGACGCTTCTGCGCTTTGACGCTTCTGGAAGCTTTGGCGCTTCTTGACGCTTTGGCGCTTCTCGAAGCTTTGCCGCTTTGACGCTTCGTGGTGCTTCGACGCCTTGGCGCTTTGCGGCTCTTTGACGCTTCTTGACGCTCTGGCAACACAGCGGCGATGAACACAGGAGACGGCGGCTGCGTCTCAGAGCTTGCGGCTTTGCGGCTTTGCGGCGTTGCGGCTTTGCGGCTTTGCGGCTTTGCGGCTTCAGCGATCCATGGCGGTGGCAACGCAGCGGCGATGAACGCAGGAGGCGGCGCATGAGTCGCAGAGCTTGCGGCTTTGCGGCTTTGCGGCTTGAGCGATCCATGGCGGTGGCAACGCAGCGGCGATGAACGCAGGAGGCGGCGCATGAGTCGCAGAGCTTGCGGCCATGGCGCTTTGCGGCTTTGCGGCTTGAGCGTTCCATGGCAGCTTTGCGGCTTTGCGGCTTTGCGGCTTTGCGGCTTTGCGGCTTGCGCGTTCCATGGCGGCTTTGCGGCTTTGCGGCTTTGCGGCTTGAGCGTTCCATGGCGGCTTTGCGGCTTTGCGGCTTTGACGCTTTGACGCTTTTCAGGGTGCGCGCGTGTACCCGAACCCGCGTGCAATATAATTTAAGCGTATCATACACCAACTTCTTGGCGTTCACGAACTGGGGCCCCATCCTGTAGAAGTCCTGAGATGATGATCCAACCAGTTCAAGAATCCAAGCAGTTGGTTTTTGACTCCACGAAGTCACTCATTTCGGCTCCAAATCCCGGTGATGTGGCTCAGGGCATTGCCCGAGTCTCTGGGTAAATTGGTAAATGGGATGATTTTGATACTCGTTGGACAACAAAATGGATTTAACTGATTTGGTGATGGGTAAAACCCTGGTACCCTAGGTAAAATCGATGGTTAATGGATGGTTATTCCATGTTAAGGTACATTAAAATAGATGCTTAATGGATGGTTATTCCCCCAAACATGGTAATTTCATAGGTTCTGGCCCATCCCCATTTAAGTAAAAAATTACATGGTAATTAATTGCGGTGTGTATATACGTGGGGGGCATTGGTGAACGTAACAAGGCTAACGATTGGATTTATGGTATATAATAATTGGATGGGACTGGGGATAGCCCTATTAAATTATTACCTACCCTCTGGTTATTTAACATAGCCATGGGAAATGGTCCATTTAAAGATGGTTTACCTATTAAAAATTGCGATTTTCCATGGCTATGTTCAATAACCAGAGGGTACCTGCTAATCATTCTAGCTGAACTATAATTACCAATGAAAATAGCTGTGACCTCATACTGCCAACGCATGGGGATGAGTCCGGAACATAACCTGGTGGGCCATGTTCCACTGCGGACCCTCCAGTAGACAAACGGGGAAATCCATGAAAATTGCGGCGCGTAAAAGCCGGCTATACGGCTTTTACCTACAATGATATCATAAATACCATTGTCACCCCACAAAGAACAAGCAAATTGCTCAGTTTGAGAATATTCACCAAAATCCACCCAAAAAATAAGGGCTAAAACACATCTACCTACCCCAAAAAAATTTGCGATTGGGACTTCTGACTCATCGCCATTCTCGACGAAGTCACACTTCGGGACGACGACACTGGTCCTTCAGAAGGTATACTGAAGGCAGGGGCCTCGGCAGCCAGATAGGATAGGTAGAAAGATATACCGTGATAATCAGATGTAATTACCTGGAATCGGAAGAGTGATCTTGAGTTTTTCAAAATGTGGCTTTTCCGGTGAAGATGTACCGAAGGGCTTGAAGGACCAACATTTACTGGAAACTGTGAGTGTTACGGCTTACGACTTCTAAAATGGTCAAAATCTATGGTCTAGTCTGACAAAAAAGAGAACCTAGCTAACCTAGCCATAGAGATCACGAGCTGCAAAAAGTGAAATGTGCTAGGACTCTGACCGGAGATCAAGCAAATCACAAGCCTTCATGGCCCTTCATGGCCCTTCATGGCATCTTTTGCTGCTTGGAACCCCCATCACAAGCCCCCAAGTTCATTGAATCAACCATGGTCAAACTCCCAAAAAATCTGAAAGAACACTCTTGTACCAGGGTTTTTCACCACTATTGTCGTTGCTGGCTCAAAAATATGCCATGTCTTAGGCACTTCATGGCTTGAACCTATGGGAAGTCCGCAGTGCAGCGAACCATAAAACAATACCCCTAAGTTGATTGATTATAGGGAGTTCTACTAATTGAGTTCTTTGGGATTATGTATTAAACCATGGGGAAACCGGAAAAACATGGAAAAACTGTCTTCTTGGAACTCAAATCGTATTGTCAGGCTTGCTCCCTGGCCACCCCAATTGGGAGTCTTGGGGAAAAACAACTGCTTGGCAAAATCCCCCGTTTTGCTGCTCTGGTAAACATCATTCACCAAGTTAGTGCAACCCTGTTTGTTGCTTTTTTTTTCGCACCACTTTTGCAGATCAATTTCCCCACTTTTTGTTGGTTCCATCCTTAGCGGCAATGACTAACTTGCAGGTCTGCGTCTTTTTTTTGAGCATCATCAAAGCGCGACCATCTCAACTTGTTGGACAGATTCCACCATGATACAGCCATCAGGATGGCTTTGTCCAAGATAAAACTCAGACCCAAGACTGTTGCTTTCCATATCCAAAACAAAACAGCAACGAACCTGAAGAAAAGTTCCATGATGCTTTTCATTTTTGGACCTTCGGTGACATTCCATCATGTCCGGATGGAAGCTACCGGGCCATCTCCCCATCCTTTTTGCAGCTCATGAAACTCTCATCATCACTTTTTGCCGAGAAAACAAAACAAGAATTTCTTGGTGAAAAATGCCCAACAGCCAACTAGGAGAGTTCCCTCATGCGGAGCTGGAGGATGTATCCACCGCCCCGTAGAGGCTGTCAGGTGTCTCAGCTGTGGAGCCCGCACGCTGCGGAAGGGACTCCTACGGCCGAACGTTTTTCTCCAAGCAAAAGAATGGGCCGGTTTCCAAGAACAGATGTATCACAAGGGATATGTTTGGGTTTGACTGAAAATGCTGGATACCCCAACTGCCCCAACTTATGGATATGTTATATGATATATGCAGTTGTCTGATACCCCAACTGACTTACTGTGGCCCAGACTGATGGATATTCTATGATATGTTGATGGCAAAAATCATGGTAATCCATTGGAAAGCCCTGTTTTCAGAACGACTGCGTCATTGCTGCGTCGTTTCTACAAAACGAGCTAAACGAGCTATGCCAACGCATAGAACAAATGATGATCCGTTTCGAATCCTAACTTGCAGTGGTTCTTTGCCAACGAAAATGGGGCACTTTCCAATAGATGGTCCATGATGATCCCGTGGGTTCCCAGTGGATGATGATCCACGAAAATTTCCCCAATTTCCAATGGATAGCGAAGCCCTGACAAAAATCCTCCAACAGGCCAACAGGGGCTTGAAACGTATGAAATAACAATAATATGTAATCTATACTATACGTATGGTTATATACATATATATTACACAAACCATCATAAACCACTCATGAAGCATTTATATAAACCACTGATGAAAACCTTTTATATAAACATATATATACATGTATATATATATATATATCACTTATTAAGAATTAACAGACTTATGAACCAACAGGCCAATTGGTTTAGCCTCCGACCTTGTAGCTCTCCATCATCTCTGGAAGGAAACTCTGCCAGGCGCTCTCGAAGCCCGCCGGTGGAGGAGGGGTGCTGCTGGGACAAGCCCAGCCATGTACAACCAGCGCCTGGCTCGTGCCCGCGGTTTTTGAAGCCCCCAATGCTGGTGGTTTGTTGCAACAGTCAATGGATTGGTTTAAGGGAAAATCTTAACCGGAAACCATAGATTTTCCCATGAAGATCATGGGGCTTTCCTGTAAATTTTCCCTTAAACCAATCCATTCAAACAGACATTTTCTGGTGATTTCACCAAAATGGAAATTTCGTACTTCGATCTACTGTATGTTGTGTTGGTTTAGTTCCCTCGTATTTCACTGTTGGCTAAAAAGGGCATGTTTCATAAGTCCCTTAGATGGGGTGATTCTAACCAGTCACGGCGGCTATGGCGACGGGGACCGTAGAAATCTGGAGTTCAGATGATTTAACCAATGAATCATCTCCATAATGGGTATATCCCAGGAAATTCAGCATCATTTCGCACCTAAATCTATGGCTTTAATTCATGGAGTTGTCATAATTTATGGAACATGATATTCGGATCCAAAATACCATGGGATATAAGAGGGACAAAGTGGACGAACCGACTGCCGGTTAGTATAATAGTAAACTTATGAAGTTTGGATGTGATCATGGTGATGTAATAGGGAGTGAAGTCTCCAAAATATATTGGATTAAACAGGGTCGAAAGATCATAAACATTAGAATCGATTTTTGGATTCAACAAAGACTGGTACAACTTGATATAACTTGAGACCTCATATCAGGTGAGCCTTCTCAATCTAGTATTTTTCTATCGTAAGTTCTTTCCAACAAAGATCGTGACACAACTCGATATAGTGTAACCCAAAAAAGATAGAAAACTTATTTACCGCTATTCTACAGTAGGAGGATCCTACTTTTCTATCTTGTTGGGGGTTGCTATAACTTGACATCAGCCGGGCGGCTTTTTTGTGAATATTTTTTTTGGCCAGGCGAGCCATTCAAAATACCCCCAACTGAAGGAGAAACATAGGGAATTATAAGGGTTATACATGGTTACTATATACTGTACGATCTAATTGGGTTTGGGGAGGGATTATTGTAATCCGTTTTCAAGTTGGGATAGCTATTTGCTAATCAAGTATTTCATGGGATGAGAGAATAGGATTTAATAGGTACTTCATGGAGGTATATATTGGAGTTGTTATAATAAGCCTTTCAAAACTTTAGGATTGAATTCTTCGGTTGCACAAAGTCCTCCCAAGTGGATGAAAATCATTGAAAACCTAAAAATATCAAAAAATGCCTCCAAGATTCCTTGGAAACTCTCGGGATAATCAATGCCATTTTCCTCACATTTTGAATCCCCTAATCATGCTTCTTCTATAGCTGAAGCCTTGCCAAATCATAGGCCTTCAAACCTGCCTGGTGCATATATTCTGTTCCTTGTAACATCATCTAACCATGATTTCCTGGTGAAAACGAGCTCCGCGACATTTTTTCCTCTTGCTCCACTTCCACACTTCGTCTGCCGCGCCACTGTCGCCCGCTTCGCGGCGGCAGCGGCGTCGGCCGAGCGGCGCTGTCGCGTCTGGGCCGCGAGCGGCGCCGCGGCGCCCGTTTGGGCTCCGGTGGCTCCGGTGGCTCCGGTGGCTCCGGTGGCTCCGGCGGCCGTGGGCTCTGTCCAACCCCCACAGCTTCACCGTGGAACACCGGAGGTGCACTGGGTGGTGCCACACTGGGGATGAAGCCAGGCATCGTGGCTTCCCTGGGAGGTAACATCAACAGCTGCTCCAACTGCAGCACCATCGCCGGCGCGGGAGTGGGAGATGCGGCGGCTTTGGCGCCGGCGGTTTTTGCCTTGGAATTCTTCCGCTGGCGGCGGCGTTGCTGGGAACGGGAAGGTTTCTCTTTGAGCGGCCAGCTACTGGGGCGAGCAGGACTCGACTCTGTCAGGTCGTATTGACCTCCTTAGCTTGGAAGCAATTGGCGAAAAGGTCCGGGGGGAATAGATAAAGGCATGGTGGTAGGGGTAACCACAGCTTTGACACCCAAACCGAAGGCTTTAGTTGGGATACAAACTCACAGTTTCAAGGAAAGTTAACCAACAAATAATGGATGGGATATCAGTTGGGGTAAACTGCATTAACTTGATGGATAGTTTTATACAAACTACAATCGAGTGCTGATGTCACAGCAATTTTCTTGAACGTGGACAGATCACTTACGGAAAAGTCGCCACAGGCCGCTCACAGCACGGTCACAGCAATCCATCAAAACACCAGGGGTTGTCTTCATGTGAAGGATATGATATAAAGTACTAGAAAAAAGAACACGTTGATTCATAACTAGTTTTTATTAGTAGTCACTTTCCATCGGTTCCATTCACAATTAGTTTCCGTTGCAAATGGGATTGATAATTACTGGTTGGTGGTTTCAACCCCTCTGAAAAATATTAGTCAATGGGAAGGATTATCCCATATATTATGGAAAGTAAGAAATGTTTGAAACAACCAACAAGATTACTTTCCATTCATAGTGATCCCAGTCATTGACAAACTATTTTTCGAAAGGGATAAAAAGTTACAGGATTTTCATCATCAGTGAGTTTTCATTGATTCCAAGATAATGGATATTAGTTTCCATAATATCATCATTTCCATTGATATGAGTTTCCCAGTCATTGATTCCATGAGTTTCCATTGATATTAGGACTCCTCACTGGGGTTCCAATCGTTTCCCCATTTCCATCTGATTTCCCAAAAAAATCTCCCATTCGTCCCCTATGATTTCCCTATTTTTTCCCTACTATGTCCCCATTATTTCCCTATGAATTTCCTATGATTTTTCTAATAGTTCTCTATTATTTCCATATGTCATTATTACATATTATATCATATTAGTACTTGAACATTTTTTTGTTTTTATTCCCTATTGTGACGTTTCCCGCCTGTAGGCCAAACATGCTAATCAACCTCACCAGCTAATAAATAATTTTATCATTCAAGTACCCATCGGAAATACAGGGGTTTTACCCTCAAAAACTTTAAACCACTCAGCAAATCATTGCAAATCATTGCGACCCCCCTGGAGAGCTTCGCCCAACCGTATGAAAGCAAACCAAAAAATCGTTACGACTTTGATCCTTGACTGTACTAGTACGGTACACTAAGCTTTTGCGAATTGAATTGGAATATGGTCCTAATCAGCTAAGAAAACTCTGTCCTGCAGTTGCATCCATGTTTCTTTTGTGCATCAACCCAAGTTATGATCCGCTTGGCGTCACTCTATGACTAGCCCTGAGCCATAATAAATGATTTTTTTTAGCAGATTCTACCAACAGTTCAGGCTGTTTTATCCCTATGTTATACCCATATATGGTTTTAGATGGAGATATATATATATATATACATACATACATATATATGTATATATATATATACATATACATATACAGCTATCATTATATATATATATACATATCTCCGCCGACCCCGCCGACGGCAAGGGGGAGCGCGTCAGAGAAGACATTACCATCAGTCAGGGGCAAGAAATGATGAGAGCAAAAGTTGACGGATCAAACAGAGTCAGGCAGCAAGCGCACGAAGGGGAAGCAAGAAGGGCCAGGAGCAAGAGCAAGAAGGCAGTAGAAAGCACCCCGTCCTTGGACCCGAGCTGTGCCAGACGAAAGCCACCTGCAAGACACAGCAAGCAATGTGGAAGCTGGCAGTGCCGAACGGAAGGTACAGGGCAAGGTTTGAAGTTAGTGTCTAGGCAGTTCAGAAAGCAACGTTTGGCACTATGGGCTGCCGGCCGCGGGCCCGATCCGTCCTTCACTGCCATGGTGTTTTAGCCCTGCGACACCGTCCTTGGACCCGAGCTGTGCCAGACAAAAGCCACCTGCAAGACGCAGCAAGCAATTTGGAAGCTGTCAGTGCCGAATGGCAGGTACAGGCAATGTTTGAAGCTAGTTTCTAGGCAGTTCAGAAAGCAACGTTTGGCACTATGGGCTGCCGGCCACGGGCCCGATCCGTCCCTCACTGCCATGGTGTTTTAGCCCTGCAACACCATCCTTGGACCCGAGCTGTGCGAGACGAAAGCCACCTGCAAGACGCATTAAGCAATTTGGAAGCTGGTAGTGCCGAACGGCAGGTACCTAGGCAGTTCAGAAAGCAACGTTTGGCACTATGGGCTGCCGGGCCGCGGGCCCGATCCGTCCCTATACTGCCATGGTGTTTTAGCCCTGCGACACCGTCCTTGGACCCGAGCTGTGCCAGACGAAAGCCACCTGCAAGACGCAGCAAGCAATTTGGAAGCTGTCAGTGCCGACTGGCAGGTACAGGCAATGTTTGAAGCTAGTTTCTAGGCATTTGGCACTATGGGCTGCCGGCCGCGGGCCCGATCCGTCCTTCACTGCCATTGTGTTTTAGCCCTGCGACACCGTGCTTGGACCCGAGCTGTGCCAGACAAAAGCCACCTGCAAGACGCAGCAAGCAATTTGGAAGCTGGCAGTGCCGGACCGCAGGTAAAAGCAAGGTTTGAAGCTAATTAGTTTCTAGGCAGTTCAGAAAGCAACGTTTGGCACTATGGGCTGCCGGCCGCGGTACAGGCAAGATTTGAAGCTAGTGTCTGCAGTTCAGAAAGCAACGTTTGGCACTATGGGCTGCCGGCCGCGGGCCCGATCCATCCCTCACTGCCATGGTGTTTTAGCATGTTTTAGCCTTGCGACGCCGTCCTTGGACCCGAGCTGTGCCAGACGAAAGCCACCTGCAAGATGCAGCAAGCAATTTGGAAGCTGGCAGTGCCGAACGGCAGGTAAAAGCAAGGTTTGAAGCTAGTTTCTAGGCAGCTCAGAAAGCAACATTTGGCACTATGGGCTGCCGGCCTCACTGCC